AGACAGAACCCTGCACTAGGCCTATCTATCAGTATAGGCAGGTCAGCCACCAGACAGACAGTCAGAACCCTGCACTAGGTCTATCTATCAGTATAGGCAGGTCAGCCACCAGACAGACAGTCAGAACCGTGCACTAGGCATATCTATCAGTATAGGCAGGTCAGCCACCAGACAGACAGTCAGAACCCTGCACTAGGCCTATCTATCAGTATAGGCAGGTCAGCCACCAGACAGACAGAACCCTGCACTAGGCCTATCTATCAGTATAGGCAGGTCAGCCACCAGACAGACAGAACCCTGCACTAGGCCTATCTATCAGTATAGGCAGGTCAGCCACCAGACAGACAGACAGAACCCTGCACTAGGCCTATCTATCAGTATAGGCAGGTCAGCCACCAGACAGACAGAACCCTGCACTAGGCCTATCTATCAGTATAGGCAGGTCAGCCACCAGACAGACAGACAGAACCCTGCACTAGGCCTATCTATCAGTATAGGCAGGTCAGCCACCAGACAGACAGAACCGTGCACCAGGCCTATCTATCAGTATAGGCAGGTCAGCCACCAGACAGACAGAACCCTGCACTAGGCCTATCTATCAGTATAGGCAGGTCAGCCACCAGACAGACAGTCAGAACCGTGCACTAGGCCTATCTATCAGTATAGGCAGGTCAGCCACCAGACAGACAGTCAGAACCGTGCACTAGGCCTATCTATCAGTATAGGCAGGTCAGCCACCAGACAGACAGAACCCTGCACTAGGCCTATCTATCAGTATAGGCAGGTCAGCCACCAGACATACAAAAGCTGTATCTCGCAACTTCAGTGAAGCAGGGCCTGTCATCAATGAATAGTCCAGGATATTGAGATGAGTGAGAGGCAACACTTCAGTCACACACAGTATCTGTTCGTGTGCACGGGTTGGCTTCACGCTGATCATGGTGGTAGCCAGGGCACCAAAACAGAGGAGAAGTTGAGCCTCGCGCTTCAACGCTCTTAGTTGTTGTGGAAATGGAGCCACTATGCTGTTTAACTGTCTGCTTCTACTTCGTATGGCTGTCTTCATTTAAATGACAACTTCCTCAGGCCTTTACAGCCTATAGTCTAGTTAGGCTATAACACAGAAAATAAGGGTTTGTGATTTACTGCACTGTGATTTAAATGTAGTTTTTTGGTTAGGGATTTTTGTCATCGTTAAGGATCCCAATTTTGTTTTAAGCGTTTGCCCGTTCGTAGCCCCGGTTGCTCCTTCCTACACGGTTATCTAGACTGACTAGTCCCCTTTTTCTCTTCCTGGTTCTGCTGTGGCTGTTCTGCGTTCTGTCCAGTAGGGGGAGTCCTAGGTTGACAAACTGGACAGCTCTTCCAAGCCTATTCTTTAGTTTCCCAGGCCACACACCATCCCCTGCTTGGTGTTTGTTCAGCCATCAGACAGCCTTATGACTCTCTGGTAGAAGGATCATGTAGCTTCAGTCTCTTATAGTGACCCAGTACTTCTGCCGCCCGCTGACTTTAAACGACTAACTTTAGGCTTTGTGTGCAAAGTAGTGAACTGGCTATCAGAGCCCTCCAGCCCAGCCCACACTGTTGGTTAGGTGATATCTCAGCCCAGCCCAGCCCACACTGTTGGTTAGGTGATATCTCAGCCCAGCCCAGCCCACACTGTTGGTTAGGTGATATCTCAGCCCAGCCCACACTGGTGGTTAGGTGATATCTCAGCCCAGCCCACACTGGTGGTTAGGTGATATCTCAGCCCAGCCCACACTGTTGGTTAGGTGATATCTCAGCCCAGCCCAGCCCACACTGTTGGTTAGGTGATATCTCAGCCCAGCCCACACTGTTGGTTAGGTGATATCTCAGCCCAGCCCAGCCCACACTGTTAGTTAGGTGATATCTCAGCCCAGCCCACACTGTTGGTTAGGTGATATCTCAGCCCAGCCCACACTGTTGGTCAGGTGATATCTCAGCCCAGCCCACACTGTTGGTCAGGTGATATCTCAGCCCAGCCCAGCCCACACTGTTGGTTAGGTGATATCTCAGCCCAGCCCACACTGGTGGTTAGGTGATATCTCAGCCCAGCCCACACTGTTGGTTAGGTGATATCTCAGCCCAGCCCAGCCCACACTGTTGGTTAGGTGATATCTCAGCCCAGCCCAGCCCACACTGTTGGTTAGGTGATATCCCAGCCCAGCCCACACTGTTGGTTAGGTGATATCTCAGCCCAGCCCACACTGTTGGTTAGGTGATATCTCAGCCCAGCCCACACTGTTGGTTAGGTGATATCTCAGCCCAGCCCAGCCCACACTGTTGGTTAGGTGATATCTCAGCCCAGCCCCCACACTGTTGGTTAGGTGATATCTCAGCCCAGCCCAGCCCACACTGTTGGTTAGGTGATATCTCAGCCCAGCCCAGCCCACACTGTTGGTTAGGTGATATCTCAGCCCAGCCCAGCCCACACTGTTGGTTAGGTGATATCTCAGCCCAGCCCAGCCCACACTGTTGGTTAGGTGATATCTCAGCCCAGCCCAGCCCACACGGTTGGTTAGGTGATATCTCAGCCCAGCCCAGCCCACACTGTTGGTTAGGTGATATCTCAGCCCAGCCCAGCCCACACTGTTGGTTAGGTGATATCTCAGCCCAGCCCAGCCCACACTGTTGGTTAGGTGATATCTCAGCCCAGCCCACACTGTTGGTTAGGTGATATCTCAGCCCAGCCCAGCCCACACTGTTGGTTAGGTGATATCTCAGCCCAGCCCACACTGTTGGTTAGGTGATATCTCAGCCCAGCCCACACTGGTGGTTAGGTGATATCTCAGCCCAGCCCAGCCCACACTGTTGGTTAGGTGATATCTCAGCCCAGCCCATCCCACACTGTTGGCTCGATGAAAACCTGCTCCAGAGCGCTCAGGACCTCAGACAGATTTCTAAAAATCTGTTTTTGCTTTGCCATTATGGGGTATTGTGTGTAGATTGATGAGTGGGGAAAAACTATTTAATCCATTTTAGAATAAGGCTGTAGCGTAACAAAATGTGGAAAAAGTCAAGGGGTCTGAATACTTTCCGAATGCACTGTAGTTCCTATGAGTTATGACAGGTATCTGGGACCACCAGAGAGGGTTCCTATGAGTTATGACAGGTATATGGGACCACCAGAGAGGGTTCCTATGAGTTATGACAGGTATCAGGGACCACCAGAGAGAGTTCCTATGAGTTATGACAGGTATCTGGGACCACCAGAGAGGGTTCCTATGAGTTATGACAGGTATCTGGGACCACCAGAGAGAGTTCCTATGAGTTATGACAGGTATCTGGGACCACCAGAGAGAGTTCCTATGAGTTATGACAGGTATCTGGGACCACCAGAGAGAGTTCCTATGAGTTATGACAGGTATCTGGGACCACCAGAGAGGGTTCCTATGAGTTATGACAGGTATCTGGGACCACCAGAGAGAGTTCCTATGAGTTATGACAGGTATCTGGGACCACCAGAGAGGGTTCCTATGAGTTATGACAGGTATCTGGGACCACCAGAGAGAGTTCCTATGAGTTATGACAGGTATCTGGGACCACCAGAGAGGGTTCCTATGAGTTATGACAGGTATCTGGGACCACCAGAGAGAGTTCCTATGAGTTATGACAGGTATCTGGGACCACCAGAGAGGGTTCCTATGATTTATGACAGGTATCTGGGACCACCAGAGAGGGTTCCTATGAGTTATGACAGGTATCTGGGACCACCAGAGAGAGTTCCTATGAGTTATGACAGGTATCTGGGACCACCAGAGAGGGTTCCTATGAGTTATGACAGGTATCTGGGACCACCAGAGAGAGTTCCTATGAGTTATGACAGGTATCTGGGACCACCAGAGAGAGTTCCTATGAGTTATGACAGGTATCTGGGACCACCAGAGAGTTCCTATGAGTTATGACAGGTATCTGGGACCACCAGAGAGGGTTCCTATGAGTTATGACAGGTATCTGGGACCACCAGAGAGAGTTCCTATGAGTTATGACAGGTATCTGGGACCACCAGAGAGGGTTCCTATGAGTTATGACAGGTATCTGGGACCACCAGAGAGGGTTCCTATGAGTTATGACAGGTATCTGGGACCACCAGAGAGGGTTCCTATGAGTTATGACAGGTATCTGGGACCACCAGAGAGGGTTCCTATGAGTTATGACAGGTATCTGGGACCACCAGAGAGAGTTCCTATGAGTTATGACAGGTATCTGGGACCACCAGAGAGAGTTCCTATGAGTTATGACAGGTATCTGGGTCCACCAGAGAGTTCCTATGAGTTATGACAGGTATCTGGGACCACCAGAGAGAGTTCCTATGAGTTATGACAGGTATCTGGGACCACCAGAGAGGGTTCCTATGAGTTATGACAGGTATCTGGGACCACCAGAGAGAGTATGAAGGAAAGAGGGTCAAGCACTGATTGATGGCTCAGTGTAACGGCTGATGTGGCCTACTATTAGTCAAGCTTTAGCCTCATAATCAATTAGCAGGCTTCTCCCCAAATAATATAAGAGGGGTGCTGCGCCACCTTGTGGACTGGCTGCTCCAATATGTACCAAAAAATAAGAGAAATGTTGATTTTATATATTTTTTACTTTATTGGTAATTTAAGGCCATTTTTTGCTCCACTCCCCACCGGGCCTCCCCCCGCTGGACTCAGCAGCACCACTCTAGATTACAGGTCCTCCCCACCGGGCCTCCCTCCGCTGAACTCTGCAGCACCACCTTGTAAAAAAATATATATATAATCCTGGGGAGAACCCTGAATTAGGTAAACGTATTCCATAATCAACCATGACTAGGTGTGTCTTCACAGCCTTGCTGTTGGCTCATTGCTGTGTTTTTGTCCAGGAATGTCTGTCTGTAACCCCAATCCTAACTCCGCTGTTCCCTGATCCTCTGTTTCAGATCTAACTCCGCTGTTCCCTGATCTTCTGTTTCAGATCTAACTCCGCTGTTCCCTGATCTTCTGTTTCAGATCTGTGTACGATGACCAGCCCAATGCCCACAAGAGGTTTATGGAGAAGCTTGAGGTCAGGATCCGAAACCATGACCGAGAGATTGAGAAGATGTGTAACTTCCACCACCAGGGGTTTGTGGATGCCATCACTGAGCTGCTCAAAGTCCGCGCTGACGCAGAGAAACTGATGGTGAGAAAGAAGGAGACCCAGAGCTAAAGAAATGGAAACTATCTCACTAAACATACATTTTACATTTCAATCATTTAGCTGTTATCCAGCATTCATCTTCTAGCTAGGTGAGACAACCAGATATCACAGGCACGGTCAGTACATGGTTGATATGATTCTGAGCAGTTAGAAACATTTGCATAATACCATAAGTGAAATAACACATCAAACAGGATCCAGGTCCGCTCAGAACTTATTACTGTGTTGAGGTTAGAGTCCAATCTAGTCTACCTCTTTGTTCAACCAGGGATCGCAGTGGATCAATCTAGTCTACCTCTTTGTTCAACCAGGGATCGCAGTGGATCAATCTAGTCTACCTCTTTGTTCAACCAGGGATAGCAGTGGATCAATCTAGTCTACCTCTTTGTTCAACCAGGGATCGCAGTGGATCAATCTAGTCTACCTCTTTGTTCAACCAGGGATCGCAGTGGATCAATCTAGTCTACCTCTTTGTTCAACCAGGGATCGCAGTGGATCAATCTAGTCTACCTCTTTGTTCAACCAGGGATAGCAGTGCATAATTTCCCACTTAATGTCTATGCAAAGATGTAATGTTCTCTGGTCACGTATGCCCAGTCCCCCCCCAGGCCCTGTCCCCCCCCAGGCCCAGTCCCCCCCCAGGCCCAGTCCCCCCCCAGGCCCAGTCCCCCCCCAGGCCCTGTCCCCCCCCAGGCCCTGTCCCCTCCCAGGCCCAGTCCCCCCCCCAGGCCCAGTCCCCCCCCAGGCCCTGTCCCCCCCCAGGCCCTGTCCCCCCCCAGGCCCTGTCCCCCCCCAGGCCCAGTCCCCCCCCAGGCCCAGTCCCCCCCCAGGCCCTGTCCCCCCCCCAGGCCCTGTCCCCCCCCCAGGCCCTGTCCCCCCCCCAGGCCCTGCCCCCCCCCCCCCCAGGCCCTGTCCCCCCCCCAGGCCCTGCCCCCCCCCCCCCAGGCCCTGCCCCCCCCCCCCCAGGCCCTGTCCCCCCCCCCCCCCCCCAGCCCTGTCCCCCCCCCCCCCATGCCCCCCCCCCCCCCCAGGCCCCCCCCCCCCCCCAGGCCCTGTCCCCCCCCCCCCAGGCCCTGCCCCCCCCCCCCCATGCCCTGCCCCCCCCCCCCCAGGCCCTGTCCCCCCCCCCCCCAGGCCCTGTCCCCCCCCCAGGCCCTGTCCCCCCCCCAGGCCCTGTCCCCCCCCAGGCCCAGTCCCCCCCCCAGGCCCTGTCCCCTTCTCACACTCAGTGTGCAAAACATTAAGGACACCAGAGCTGTGTTCGAATACCCATACTAACATACTGTATACTACATACTTAATGAGTATATACTATTAGTTAATGTTAGTATACTGTAAACGAACGGTATCCTTTCATTTGATCGTACTAGCGCTTTGCCTGTCTACCGGAAGTTAATGCTGTTGCTATGCAACCTCTTGCTAGCTTGTTAGCATAACAACATTACTAGCGAGACATCTTACGACTTCATTATCAATGTCCATTGAGAACGCACAACGACTATACCACTTCGCTAAGCTAAGAATGATGTGAATAATCAAGTCAATAAACGTTGGGCCGTTTAGTTAGATAGCATATAGTTAATATACTGGCAAGTTCGATGTATTAGGAGCCAACTAACGTTAGGTAGCTAGCTAACATACCGGTACATACAATAATATAATAATAATAATATATGCCATTTAGCAGATGCTTTTATCCAAAGCGACTTAGTCATGTGTGCATACATTTTTACGTATGGGTGGTCCCGAGGATCGAACCCACTACCCTGGCGTTACAAACGCCATGCTCTACCAACTGAGCTACAGAGGACCACAAGTAACTGCTATAATGATATGCGGTTCGTAAGGCTAGTGTAGCCAACGTAACGTGTAACATAACTTATTTGAAAAGTCATTACATTTTTCAACAATCAATCAATCAAATGTATTTATAAAGCCCTTTTTAGCAGTGCTATACAGAAACCCAGCCTAAAACCCCAAACAGCAAGCAATGCAGATGTAGAAGCACGGTGGCTTGGAAAAACTCCCTTTGTCATTATCAGTTAAAGCAATTAATTAATATTTATTTACTTTTTGGACTTACATTTGTATCCGCTCTCGTCGGACTTCGGCTGCATATTTTCCGCCATTTTCGTCAAATCTGAAAATGTTGTGAAGCCACGCCCATTTTCTGAAGAATTGCATTATGGGCCTTAAAAGCACGGAAATAGGGTCCACTGCTTGTATACTTTGTATTTTGGCGAATGTAGTACGACATCCGGGAACTTTTGGCATTCTAACTATATCCATACTATGACCAATAAGCACACTACACACTCAATTTACGTCACAAATAGTACGGTTAGTGCTGTGCTCTTTCCATGACAGACTGACCAGGTGAATCCAGGTGAAAGCTATGATCCCTTATGGATGTCACTTGTTAAATCCACTTCAATCAGTATAGATGAAGGGGAGGAGACAGGTTAAAGAAGGATGTTTAAGCCTTGAGACAATTGATACATGGATTGTGTATGTGTGCCATTCAGAGGGTGAATGGGCAAGACAAAAGATTTAAATGCCTTTTGAACGGGGTATGGTAGTAGGTGCCAGGCACACCGGTTTGTGTCAAGAACTGCAACGCTGCTGGGTTTTTCACGCTCAACAGTTTCCTTTGTGTATCAAGAATGGTCCACCACCCAAAGGACATCCAGCCAACTTGACACAACTGTGGGAAGCATTGGAGTCAACATGGGCCAGCATCCCCGTGGAACCCTTTCGTCACCTTGTAGAGTCCGTGCCCCGGCGAATTGAGGCTGTTCTGAGGGCAAAAGGGGGTGCAACTCAATATTAGGAAGGTGTTCTTAATGTTTTGTATACTCAGTGTAGGTCGTTTTTTACACCAGCGTCAAACAGCTGAAAATAATGTTTTTGGTTATGGAAAATATATTTGACAGCGTTTTAGATGGTACAATGATTTACTTTACCAGGGTTCCCCAACTGGCGGCTGGTGGTTTTATTTGGCCGCCCAAGTTTTCTGAGCAAAAAATTATAATAATAAAAAATATATATATATATTTTCATTGTTGGACATGACTGACTGTAAAAACGACAGGAAATCAGTTCCAAGTGATTTACATTTTGGAAATCTGTTCCCCAGTATTCCCACGGATAATAGAGAGACACGTGATCATATACAAATGGACGCAAGGTTTGAAATTATTATGTTTTAGTCAAACATATCTGTTTGGGCTTCTTGTGGTCAATTTGCAGTCTACAAATTATTTGTAGTTATGTTCCGGCCCCGCCGACCATCCGCTCAAGAAAAAACGGCCCGCGACTGAATCTAGTTGATGATCTAGTATGATACTATACCTGCTTGTTTTGTCACATAAACTGAAATTAGGCCGACTATTCAAGTTTTAGCAACCAGGAAATGGCGGAGCGATTTCTGCATAGTGCACCGTTAACATTAGAGTTCGCGCACCAGCTGTTGTTAACAAGGAGACACACACCTCCCCCTTAACCTTACCCTAAGCTGCCGTTCGGTGGCGATGCAGAGAAAAACCAGCTGTTGTTAACAAGGAGACACACCTCCCCCTTAACCTTACCCTAAGCTGCCGTTCGGTGACGATGCAGAGAAAAACCAGCTGTTGTTAACAAGGAGACACACCCCTCCCCCTTAACCTTACCCTAAGCTGCCGTTCGGTGGCGATGCAGAGAAAAACCAGCTGTTGTTAACAAGGAGACACACCCCTCCCCCTTAACCTTACCCTAAGCTGCCGTTCGGTGGCGATGCAGAGAAAAACCAGCTGTTGTTAACAAGGAGACACACCTCCCCCTTAACCTTACCCTAAGCTGCCGTTCGGTGGCGATGCAGAGAAAAACCAGCTGTTGTTAACAAGGAGACACCCCTCCCCCTTAACCTTACCCTAAGCTGCCGTTCGGTGGCGATGCAGAGAAAAACCAGCTGTTGTTAACAAGGAGACACACCTCCCCCTTAACCTTACCCTAAGCTGCCGTTCGGTGACGATGCAGAGAAAAACCAGCTGTTGTTAACAAGGAGACACACACCTCCCCCTTAACCTTACCCTAAGCTGCCGTTCGGTGACGATGCAGAGAGAAACCAGCTAGATCTATATTATCCATGTCCTTGTTCAGCCACCAGTCCAGTTGGTTTTCTAGTTATTGTACGTTGGCCAATAGAACGGAGCGTAGAGGCAGTTTATTCCCCCCCCCCCCCCAACGTAGTCTCGTCATGGAGACCTCTCGTTTGGCTCTCCTGCACCGTCTCTTCCTCGTTCTAGTCCTGGGGGTTAGGGCCTGGTCCGGAGCCAGTCTAAGTTAACCTAATGATTCCTCCCCCAGGACTGAGCCAGTCTAAGTTAACCTAATGATCCCTCCCCAGGACTGAGCCAGTCTAAGGTAACCTAATGATCCCTCCCCAGGACTGAGCCAGTCTAAGTTAACCTAATGATTCCTCCCCCAGGACTGAGCCAGTCTAAGTTAACCTAATGATCCCTCCCCAGGACTGAGCCAGTCTAAGGTAACCTAATGATCCCTCCCCAGGACTGAGCCAGTCTAAGTTAACCTAATGATCCCTCCCCCAGGACTGAGTCAGTCTAAGGTAACCTAATGATCCCTCCCCAGGACTGAGCCAGTCTAAGGTAACCTAATGATCCCTCCCCAGGACTGAGCCAGTCTAAGGTAACCTAATGATCCCTCCCCAGGACTGAGCCAGTCTAAGGTAACCTAATGATCCCTCCCCAGGACTGAGCCAGTCTAAGGTAACCTAATGATCCCTCCCCAGGACTGAGCCAGTCTAAGGTAACCTAATGATCCCTCCCCAGGACTGAGCCAGTCTAAGGTAACCTAATGATCCCTCCCCAGGACTGAGCCAGTCTAAGGTAACCTAATGATCCCTCCCCAGGACTGAGCCAGTCTAAGGTAACCTAATGATCCCTCCCCAGGACTGAGCCAGTCTAAGGTAACCTAATGATCCCTCCCCCAGGACTGAGTCAGTCTAAGGTAACCTAATGATCCCTCCCCCAGGACTGAGCCAGTCTAAGGTAACCTAATGATCCCTCCCCAGGACTGAGCCAGTCTAAGGTAACCTAATGATCCCTCCCCAGGACTGAGCCAGTCTAAGGTAACCTAATGAGATGCATTACATCAGGAGCAGAAGTTCCCCAGCCCAGCTGCACCGAGGCACAGGCCAGATCTCTTTAGCTCTCTTTCCCAGCTGAACGTGGTCTTTAGGTGAGCAGATGGTTGGAGGCACAGGCCAGATCTCTTTATCTCTCTTTCCCAGCTGAACGTGGTCTTTAGGTGAGCAGATGGTTGGAGGCACAGGCCAGATCTCTTTAGCTCTCTTTCCCAGCTGAACGTGGTCTTTAGGTGAGCAGATGGTTGGAAGCACAGGCCAGATCTCTTTAGCTCTCTTTCCCAGCTGAACGTGGTCTTTAGGTGAGCAGATGGTTGGAGGCACAGGCCAGATCTCTTTAGCTCTCTTTCCCAGCTGAACGTGGTCTTTAGGTGAGCAGATGGTTGGAGGCACAGGCCAGATCTCTTTAGCTCTCTTCCCCAGCTGAACGTGGTCTTTAGGTGAGCAGATGGTTGGAGGCACAGGCCAGATCTCTTTAGCTCTCTTTCCCAGCTGAACGTGGTCTTTAGGTGAGCAGATGGTTGGAGGCACAGGCCAGATCTCTTTAGCTCTCTTCCCCAGCTGAACGTGGTCTTTAGGTGAGCAGATGGTTGGAACTGGACCAGCCACTGGCCTGTATGAAGCATGTTCAGCTAACAGGGCAGCAGATCAACTACCTCACTGACCCTCTTTCTCCCACAGATGAATGAGACTTTAAAAAAAAAAAACAGAATAAATGGCTTCCTGATTACCGTGAGCTAATGAGACGTGGGGAGCGATGTGGGAAGCTCTCTCTGTGGTCCTGCTATCCCTACTGTCGCCCTCCTAACCCCAGCCTGAGTTACCACGGGACCCCTCCACTCTGTGAATCAACCAGCTAGTGACTGTTTGTATTCAGCTCTGAAACCCAATGTTTAATTACCCACAAAATGCAGTGGGCCTTTCACTCTAGACAATGAATGGTACAGAGAGCTCATTGAGGTTATCAGGAAGGGACCACTGGTCAATTGGGTCATTGAATTTGTTTGACAAGACCTGCAGAGACAAGTAGAGTTCAAAAATCCTCAACGTAGAATTGAGAAGTTTGTCACAGAATCTGTTGGAAAGGGCTGTCAAGCTATTACCTGCGCATAAAAGCTTTCGAAGCCGACCAAAAGTCCAAGTTCCCGTCGCAGATTGAATCAGAATGTGCCTGCCGTTGTCTAACTGTGTCCTCGTGGAGGATGATCTGATGACAAGGTGAGCAGCTACAACAGGGGGTTGTCTAACCATTAGTCATCTTGTTTTTTTTGAAGGGCCAGGTTACTGACACAAACAGAAGACTGCAAGACGCTGGCAGAGAGGTAAGAGTCTGTGTCCCCGTGTCCCTGTGTCCCTGTGTCCCTGTGTCAGTGTTGCCTGTGTCCCCGTGTCCCTGTGTCCCTGTGTCAGTGTTGCCTGTGTCCCCGTGTCCCCGTGTCCCTGTGTCAGTGTTGCCTGTGTCCCCGTGTCCCCGTGTCCCCGTGTCCCTGTGTCCCTGTGTCAGTGTTGCCTGTGTCCCCGTGTCCCTGTGTCCCTGTGTCAGTGTTGCCTGTGTCCCCGTGTCCCTGTGTCCCTGTGTCAGTGTTGCCTGTGTCCCCGTGTCCCTGTGTCCCCGTGTCCCCGTGTCCCTGTGTCCCCGTGTCCCAGTGTCAGTGTTGCCTGTGGTCAAGTTAGAGGACAGAGGGGTACAGATTGAGACATAAGCACCTCTGACTGACCTCTCTGGGTAATTGGGGAGTTCTTACACTCTTTGACCTCTCTTACGTAAGGTGACAGCCCAAACGGAGGAGGTGATTCGCTGTCGGATACAGCAGAGGAACATGGCTACCACTGTGGAGAGAATACAGCTGTGTATACCTGGTGAGATATATATATATATACCATAACATCTAATAACATGACTACCACTGTGGAGAGAATACAGCTGTGTATACCTGGTGAGATATAAAATATACCATAACATCTAATAACATGACTACCACTGTGGAGAGAATAAAGCTGTGTACAGTGGGGAAAAAAAGTATTTAGTCAGCCACCAATTGTGCAAGTTCTCCCACTTAAAAAGATGAGAGAAGCCTGTAATTTTCATCATACGTACACGTCAACTATGACAGACAAATTGAGAAAAGAAAATCCAGAAAATCACATTGTAGGATTTTTTATGAATTTATTTGCAAATTATGGTGGAAAATAAGTATTTGGTCACCTACAAACAAGCAAGATTTCTGGCTCTCAAAGACCTGTAACTTCTTCTTTAAGAGGCTGCTCTGTCCTCCACTCGTTACCTGTATTAATGGCACCTGTTTGAACTTGTTATCAGTATAAAAGACACCTGTCCACAACCTCAAACAGTCACACTCCAAACTCCACTATGGCCAAGACCAAAGAGCTGTCAAAGGACACCAGAAACAAAATTGTAGACCTGCACCAGGCTGGGAAGACTGAATCTGCAATAGGTAAGCAGCTTGGTTTGAAGAAATCAACTGTGGGAGCAATTATTAGGAAATGGAAGACATACAAGACCACTGATAATCTCCCTCGATCTGGGGCTCCACGCAAGATCTCACCCCGTGGGGTCAAAATGATCACAAGAACGGTGAGCAAAAATCCCAGAACCACACGGGGGGACCTAGTGAATGACCTACAGAGAGCTGGGACCAAAGTAACAAAGCCTACCATCAGTAACACACTACGCCGCCAGGGACTCAAATCCTGCAGTGCCAGACGTGTCCCCCTGCTTAAGCCAGTACATGTCCAGGCCCGTCTGAAGTTTGCTAGAGTGCATTTGGATGATCCAGAAGAGGATTGGGAGAATGTCATATGGTCAGATGAAACCAAAATAGAACTTTTTGGTAAAAACTCAACTCGTGTTTGGAGGACAAAGAATGCTGAGTTGCATCCAAAGAACACCATACCTACTGTGAAGCATGGGGGTGGAAACATCATGCTTTGGGGCTGTTTTTTCTGCAAAGGGACCAGGACGACTGATCCGTGTAAAGGAAAGAATGAATGGGGCCATGTATCGTGAGATTTTGAGTGAAAACCTCCTTCTATCAGCAAGGGCATTGAAGATGAAACGTGGCTGGGTCTTTCAGCATGACAATGATCCCAAACACACCGTCCGGGCAACGAAGGAGTGGCTTCGTAAGAAGCATTTCAAGGTCCTGGAGTGGCCTAGCCAGTCTCCAGATCTCAACCCCATAGAAAATCTTTGGAGGGAGTTGAAAGTCTGTGTTGCCCAGCGACAGCCCCAAAACATCACTGCTCTAGAGGAGATCTGCATGGAGGAATGGGCCAAAATACCAGCAACAGTGTGTGAAAACCTTGTGAAGACTTACAGAAAACGTTTGACCTGTGTCATTGTCAACAAAGGGTATATAACAAAGTATTGAGAAACTTTTGTTAATGACCAAATACTTATTTTCCACCATAATTTGCAAATAAATTCATTACAAATCCTACAATGTGATTTTCTGATTTTTTTTCTTCTCATTTTGTCTGTCATAGTTGACGTGTACCTATGATGAAAATTACAGGCCTCTCTCATCTTTTTAAGTGGGAGAACTTGCACAATTGGTGGCTGACTAAATACTTTTTTCCCCCACTGTATACCTGGTGAGATATAATGTACACTGCTCAAAAAAATAAAGGGAACACTTAAACAACACAATGTAACTCCAAGTCAATCACACTTCTGTGAAATCAAACTGTCCACTTAGGAAGCAACACTGATTGACAATACATTTCACATGCTGTTGTGCAAATGGAATAGACAACAGGTGGAAATTATAGGCAATTAGCAAGACACCCCCAATAAAGGACTGGTTTTGCAGGTGGTGACCACAGACCCCTTCTCAGTTCCTATGCTTCCTGGCTGATGTTTTGGTCACTTTTTAATGCTGGCGGTGCTTTCACTCTAGTGGTAGCATGAGACAGAGTCTACAACCCACACAAGTGGCTCAGGTAGTGCAGCTCATCCAGGATGGCACATCAATGCGAGCTGTGACAAGAAGGTTTGCTGTGTCTGTCAGCGTAGTGTTCAGAGCATGGAGGCGCTACCAGGAGACAGGCCAGTACATCAGGAGACGTGGAGGAGGCCGTAGGAGGGCAACAACCCAGCAGCAGGACCACTACCTCCGCCTTTGTGCAAGGAGGAGCAGGAGGAGCACTGCCAGAGCCCTGCAAAATGACCTCCAGCAGGCCACAAATGTGCATGTGTCTGCTCAAACGGTCAGAAACAGACTCCATGAGGGTGGTATGAGGGCCCGACGTCCACAGGTGGGGGTTGTGCTTACAGCCCAACACCGTGCAGGACGTTTGGCATTTGCCAGAGAACACCAAGATTGGCAAATTCGCCACTGGCGCCCTGTGCTCTTCACAGATGAAAGCAGGTTCACACTGAGCACATGTGACAGAGTCTGGAGTTGCCGAGGAGAAAGTTCTGCTGCCTGCAACATCCTCCAGCATGACCAGTTTGGCGGTGGGTCAGTCATGGTGTGGGGTGGCATTTCTTTGGGGGGTCGCACAGCCCTCCATGTGCTCGCCAGAGGTAGCCTGACTGCCATTAGGTACCGAGATGAGATCCTCAGACCCCTTGTGAGACCATATGCTGGTGCGGTTGACCCTGGGTTCCTCCTAATGCAAGACAATTCTAGACCTCATGTGGCTGGAGTGTGTCAGCAGTTCCTGCAAGAGGAAGGCATTGATGCTATGGACCGCCCGTTCCCCAGACCTGAATCCAATTGAGCACATCTGGGACATCATGTCTCGCTCCATCCACCAACGCCACGTTGCACCACAGACTGTCCAGGAGTTGGCGGATGCTTTAGTCCAGGTCTGGGAGGAGATCCCTCAGGAGACCATCCGCCACCTCATCAGGAGCATGCCCAGGCGTTGTAGGGAGGTCATACAGGCACGTGGAGGCCACACACACACTACTGAGCCTCATTTTGACTTGTTTTAAGGACATTACATCAAAGTTGGATCAGCCTGTAGTGTGGTTTTCCACTTTAATTTTGAGGGTGACTCCAAATCCAGACCTCCATGGGTTGATCAATTTGATTTCCACTGATAATTTTTGTGTGATTTTGTTGTCAGCACATTCAACTATGTAAAGAAAAAAGTATTTAATAAGATTATTTCATTCATTCAGATCTAGGATGTGTTGTTTAAGTGTTCCCTTTATTTTTTTGATCAGTGTATTTAACATAACATCTAATAACATGGCTACCACTGTGGAGAGAATACAGCTGTGTATACCTGGTGAGATATATATATATACCATAACATATGAACGTGTTCAATATGCAACACATTGTTCGCACACTGGGTGAGACACAATGACATGCTGCATCAGCAACATGTTGACTATCTCACACACATGCAGACCGATGCATGTAGCCTACATTTATTTGATATGTCCGTCTGAAATAACAGGAAGCTCTCATCACCGTATCGATCAACAAAGTTTTTGTTCCAGAAAGAGTCATGTTTAACTTGACTTTATATAGTTGTGTGTTCTAAAAGCTACCTCTGCCCTCTCTTCTTTCTGTTCTAAAAGCTACCTCTCCTTTCTTCTTTATGTTCTAAAAGCTACCTACTGCCAGACTAGGCGTGGGGGCTAAAGAGACAGATGAAGGGTGCGGAGGGGAGGGGAGAAAAGAGTAAACGTGCCCAAGAGGCTGCAGGGAGGAGGCGAAAAGCGACCGGAGCACCAGAGAGTGGAGGGGGGACGAATAGAACGGCGTACAGCCTCCCACGCTGCGGATGCGGCTGAGATGTAAACGGACCTCGACGAAGAGGTAAGAGCGGAGGGAGGTGGTGGGGCGGCGGACAAAGGAGAAGCGCCCTAATTGAGCAGAACAGATAGACGTCCCATTCTTCTCTCGGACCAGTGCTCGCAGGTACACCCTATTAGTGTTGGGAACGAACGATTTCTGGGGGGACCTCAGGCGCCGTTTAACCTCGCCCGTCAGCGGGCAAACATAAATAAACCCACAGAGGAAACTGGGCACTGGAATCCACCGCAATAGCGGATATACGGTGGTATAGATTAGTGAGCTCGGGCACGATGTTGTTGCCTAATAAGTATAAGCTAAAGAGTGAAACCAAGAGGCATTTATGTTATAAAAAGATAAATAGAAATATCTATTATGTATGTATAAGATAAATCTAAAACTGTATAGATTATTGGGGGTGTCTAAAAGTCCTCTCCCTTCTCCCACTTCTTTCGTGTTTCTAAAAGCTAACTATGCCCTCTCTTCTTTCTGTTTTAAAGATACCTATCCCCATCGTCTTTCTGTATAAAAGCACCCTGACCTCTCTTGTTTCTGTTCTAAAAGTACCTCTCCCCTCTTATTTATATTCAGAAAAGCTAACTCTCTTTCGCTTCTAAAGCTACCTCTCTCCTCTTCCTTTCTGTTTAAAAGAACTCTTCCCACTATCTTCTTGAGGGGCGAAAAGCCCGGACCGCGCTCCTCTGGGCGTGGAGGGCTGGAAAACTAGCTATAATCAGCGCCCAGCGAGGTCGGGCGGTGAGAAAAGCGACCTGCCCCGCGTATGCTTTCTGTGCCTAAAAAAAAACAGCTAACCTCTCTCTCGCGTCTTTCTGTTCTAAAACGCTAACGTGCGTACCCCGCTGGCGGGCGGGCTAAAAGAGACAGAGCCCCGAGCTGCGGGAGGGGGAAAAGCTAAATCCTCTTACCCTCCTCTAGTCTTCTGTTTATAAAAGCTACCCTCTCCCCCTCGATTCTTTTCTGTTACTAAAAGCTACCTCTCCCCCTCTTCTTTCTGTTCTTAAAAAGCGACATACCCACTATATTCTTTCTGTTCTAAAACGCTACCCTCTTCCCCTCTC